CACTCATTTCCCTTCCCACTAATTCCCATCCCGCTCTTTACCCCTTCCACTTATTTTCCGTCCCACTCATTTCACTCCTCCCACTCACTACCCATCTCATTCACTACCCATTTCACTCACTACTCCTCTTATTTACTGCCCCTCTCACTCACTGCTCTCTCTCCCAGGAAGGCAGTTTCATGGAAAAGCCTTTTGCTAGCAGGATTATGCATCGTATGCTAAAATGAGTTTGGCTTTTCCTATGCATTTACTAGGTAATAGCCAATTGTATGACAAAGGAAAGATGAAATACTGTGATTAGTTGCCTAAAACTCAATTAGGTTGGAGCAATGCAGCTTAGTGGGGCCCAGTGTGAAAACTAAGACAAACTCGAAAGTCAAAAACTTGATCTGGCAGTGAAGAACAGAGAGTTGCCTTCAGTCCATCACCTGCTAGCCTGCTGTCCAATATGCACTTTCTATCTGCATTTCTTTAACGTATTTCGAGCGCTCTATCAATATTATGAGCTGGGGCCGTGCTTATCGCAGTGCATATTGCATATATCAAGAGTTAATGGTAATTTGTAAACACCTTGTTATCACCTGTCTCCGTAACTCTCATAGTGTTGCCTTCCCTACCCAAGACGTTCGTTGCTCCTTCCCACTCGCTGCAGTTCGAGTTGACTCGATGCAATCGTTGGATGCTTTGATATATTATTTGGCAAGTCTCTAGCCTTAATAAATTTAATTAAGAGAGTGAGAGATAGAGAGAGAAAGAGAGAGGTAGTCTCTCACTATCTTAGTCAAAGCAAATGAATAACTCGTACAACTGCTATATTTACTTGCGTATGGCTCAAGCTTCTGTAACTGTGTATGTGTCGGTGTGTGTGTGTTTGCGCTGTGTGTGTATGTGCTTGCATTTGAATGGCTTTTCTAAATCAATTGCGAATCCCAAATCACTCCAAGATGTAGAACAGCAGGCGAAGCGTTAGCTGAAACGGCCAAAGGCAGCCAAAGTATATTGAAAAAGACTTGCAAACGGAGTCCTTAGATGTGTGTCTGTATGTGTGCTGGGGGGGGGGAGGGAGGTTGGTCTCCTGAAAATGGGAAGTGAATAGCCAAAGTGGGTCTGCATTGCAATCCAGCCTACTCTCCATGTGAACTGGGAACTTCTGACGAAATGCCTTTAACGGCATGCGTGTCGCCCATTCATGCATATTTGCTTGAAGCTTGTGTCTGATAGGGCGAAAGGGACCAAGAGAGAGGGAGAGAGAGAGTTGGTGAGGGAGAGGGAGGGCAAGGGGGAGCCGAAGTCTAGAGTGTGTGTATGGCATTTGCTACTACTTTAGCTTTTACAATCTAAACGTTAATGGTCTGTCAATTATCGCCACCCAGTGAATGTAGCGATAAGATATCACCCCAGGCATAAGACGAACACACACACACACACACACACACACACACACACACATACAGTTACTCCCAGTGCATGCCATGCGAAGCTTTGAGGTTAGGGTGACGCTTACGGAACACTTTAGTACATCATTTAGTGCGAATTAGTTATGGACACAGTCAAGCCACGCCCCTTGCCCCCCCACACACAGCTGGCTGGCTCTCTCGGAATTCAATGCTTATGAACAAGCGGCGGGAGGGGGAGCAGGACAGGGTAGGGCGACGGTGGACGCAACGTCTGTTCCATTGGACTTCTTGGCTCTTGGGGTCGACCGTTCGGTTGCCCTTTTTACATTTGTATTTATGAGCAATGGCTGGGCGCTGCGCGGCTACGATGATGCAGACGGGCGGACTCGGGCCAGTCGTTAAGTAGACCATAAAATGCTACAGCCCGGCTACACTGAGCAAAAAAAAAAAAGAAAAGTAGAAAAGTAGTAAAAAAAGAAAAGTCGCCCGCCAAGGCCTATAAATCAAAGGGCAAAGGGCAAAGCTGAATGCAAAGCAGACGGAAATTAATTGCATTTTAGAGCTGTTAAACAAATGTTCTCAATTGAAAACTGACACAAATAGTATTAGTATAGATGTATATATGTAAATATGTAAATATGTTTATGTATTGGTGTTATTATTTATTTATTTGTATGCATTTATATTGCAGGAATTTGAGCTGGAAATTCGATTTTCGTGTCTAGTGAGTGATCCAGCTAGAGACTCTTCATAAATACAGAGTAGACACACACACGCACACATTCTCATATTCATACATACAAAGACAACGCACACACTCACAGTCATCGCCTTGGCCTTGGCATCTGAATTCGAGTGCTTCAAGTATCCATTAGAAGCTGCTGGAGGGGCACACGAAGCATTGCGTGGACACAACAGCAACAACAACAATAGCAACAACAATAGCAACAACAACAACAACAACAACAACAGCAACACTGGCCATAGCAAACTTCTATGCATTTATCTATTTAGACGCTTTTAGTTACGTTTTTGGTTTCTCGGTCTCGAATTGATTTTGAGCAGCCATTGAGGCTTGCCCTTCGTCCTTTTAGCAGTTACTTAAGGCTTTGTGCTTCGCACCGCCCCGCACCGCCCCAACCCGCCCACAAGGCAATGCCTTTGCTGCTGTTGTTCTCGCTCTGTATGTGTCTCGTGTTAGTATTTTTATTTCTTTTCATGCTTATTGGAATTTTATTATCAGCTCATATAAATGCCATATAATGCTGCCAGTGTATACACACATATATACATACATATACATGTATATATATATATATATATAGAACTACTTGGCCTGAATGCCAAAAATGTTGTCATATTAAATCCCCGAAAAATCTCGCATTGCTGGAAAAACAGCGAGAGAGAAACTTGAACTGTTCGATGAGCCACAAGCAGTTCGTGTGTGGTTTCAGCTGCTGCAAAGTTTGATTTCCTATTGATTTCTCAAAACTTCTATTCCTTCAATCAAATTTAATTGTCACGCAAAATATGATTCGGTTCGGTTCGGTTGGGTTTGGTTTGATTTGGTTCGGTTTGGTTTGGCTCTGTTATCAGTTAACGACTTGAGCTCAAGCATGCCTGGGAGAAATATTCCCCTGGTCTAAGAAAATCGAGTGTTTGTGGTTGCATTTACAGCTTGCGGTTACTTCTTCTCTCTTCTCACTGGCAGCACAAGCAGGAGAGGAGGAGAAAGAGGAGGATCGCCTCTGGCTTAAATTTCAGCGTGCTATTCTGTCAAATGGAATGGAGCGAGCGTTGCTGCTGCTGAGAGGAAGCGCTCTCTTTTCCTGCTCTCATCTATTCAAATCTCACTCAAAACCTTTACTTGATGACAGGAATTTTAGCAGCTGAGGACGTTAACACCCCGAAGAGGAGTCTTCACACCTGCCGCTTTGCTTGATTTAATCTTCATTTCAATATTATTGAAGCAGACCCTCATTTCGCCTATAAACCTCCACCTATATGAATAATCATGACTAGTCTTTAGCTGCAAACATAGTGCGCGCTAAGACGAAGATCAAGACGAAGCTGAAGACAGAAGTCTCAATGGACTTCTCATTAAATGATGATCTGCTGATTGAGCAAAGTCGAGACTGCTCGACCAGGAGATACCCTGAACCCTGCAAGCTGATATTCGAATCGCATACATACATACATACATTATTTGATGAACAATTTATTTTGTAGACAGACCATCTTCATGAAACTTTCAGATGGTAATCATAATGTTTAAGTGTGTGTATATTCCAAAGCGCAACTCCAGGTCCAATATTATTCAAATAAAGCTGAAAAACGAAATTAATTTATCGATTATTATCGATAAAAAGGTGTCGGGTCAGTTATCGAAAAATATGATAAACTAGTACTGCGTATATACACAGGTATACATGCAAGATCTCAGCTCTCTAGCTCTTATATCTTCTGAGATCGACCCAGTGATCTTGCGGGCTCATTGACCTTCAGGGTTCAGTGACCTTAAGGATTCACTGACCTTGAAGCTCAGTGATCTTGAGCGTTCAGTGACCTTGATGGGCAGTGATCTTCACTGACATTGAGGGGCAGTGATCTTGAATGGGATGATGATTAGAGAGGGATACGATGAGAGTGGGATAGGATATATAGGGAGGGGAGGGCAAAGGGGCAGAGTCGAACATGGCTTGAGAGGAAGGGTCGAGGAAAAGCAATGGATAGGGAGGGGAGAGAGCGGTCAACAAAGAGAAGGAGATAGACTAGTTTAATAATATCTTTATTATTCAAATATGGACAGTCCTGTATATCTGCGATATCTTTTTGAATTTGTTCCCATTTCAAATTTCAACTCTCTTGTACGTCAACTAGATTGATTTGTAAAGACACCAGGAAATTTATTTTTCGATTTGCCACGCCTTTAGTGGTAGTGTTGTGTATTCCCGAAACTAGTTTCGTAGGTCTGACGCAAAGACCGCGATTTACCTGTTTCACTCGATATCTAAACTTTTCTCAAAATTTTCCCTCACAGCACTGGTAATCATAATATTAGATAATGGATGATGGATAAACTTTGCTTTTTGACCGCTAAGTGTCGCTGTAAGCCGTCGCAAATCTATTAGAGCTGTACGATTGGTCTCTATCAGAGACTTCACCATTTGCTCCCAACTGAAGAGCCCCTTTGAGTGAAACGATTTGGTTTGGTTTGAAATATTTTCATTTTAGTGTTTATTTGATGTTTATTATTTGTTATGTTCTTCGTGCCCGTAGATCTCATTTCTTGACATTTCATGACGCTGTTGTTGGTTTGCTATAGTTAATGCTATGGTAATTATGTAATGCTTGCATAAAGTCGAAATAGTTTGCAATTAATTTTAATTCGGAACTTTTGCAGTCCGCACACGCTTACAGATCTAGAATTTTCATTTGTTTTTCATTACATTAATTAATTTAGATTTGATTAGATTCTAGAAAAAAAAAATCAACATTATCATTGCTTTAAAATATTTTCAGTTTTTTTTTTTTTTTTTTTCATTTCTATATAATATATGTTTTGTTCTATTTCTTTACTTGCTTTACTTTGTTTTAGTTTAATTGTTGTGCCTTTTATTGCTGTCTTACTGTACGTAGGTCTTCTTCTTCTTATTTTTTCATTAAAGATTTGGTTTTTCATGTTCGCTTAGCCTCTTTGCAGTTGCCTTTTAGGTTGCATTGCACAATTATCATCATCATGATCATGATCATCATCGTCATGATAGTGCTGAGGGCGCTTATAGACTATACTCTTAAATATTTCTATATTTTTCTTTTTTTTTTTTTTTTTTTTTTAAATTTAAAAACAAGTGTAACAATTGATTAATTGGATTAATATGAAACAAAGTCAAACAGAAACTGTGAACTCAACAACACTCGTATATATTAGTAATATCTGTGATCGTTGGCCCGAGGCGACATCTATTGCAATGTCCAACCACGTCCAGCTCCATCAATTGAATCATACTGAAACTTCTTGATCAACCCATTCTTCTATAACTAATAAGCGTTTTCTTTGGAAGAACTTAACTATTTCTATAATAATTCCTTCTTTTATCTCAACTATATATATATATATATATATATATATATATATATATATGTGTATATTCTTTTTTTCTGTTAATTTGTCGGTTCCTTAGAGCTATTGACTAACACTCATAACGCACCTTTAAGAATCTCGAATATTATGTATATTAGAATTACATTTAGCTACAATTATTAAAATTTAAAAAAAAAAAAAATACACACTTTTTTATGTTTTCGAATATTTTGGTTTGTTCATTTCATTTTCACTTTTTAGGAAAGTATAAAAATTTGTTGAGCTTCTCCTAGAGGGTTCCATAATAATGAGCTGGAAACGTTTAGCCTATAGAGAACGGTTTACGTCTCTCTCTAGATAATTCTTAGTATATATTTATATATAGTATTTTTTTTTTTTTTTTTTAGGTTTATCATTCTTTGAATATGCTTTGAGTTTTGTTTTGCTTTTTTTTTTTTTTTTTTTTTTTTTTTTTTTTTTTTTTTTTTTTATTAAATTTTACATTATTTGTCACATAGAAACAATGAAGAGGACGGTTTTTGAAAACAGGGACCAAAATCTAGTATGCATGTGTGTGTGTGTGTTTGTGAGTGTGTATGTATTGTGATGCCGTTTTAAATTCGTTTCCATTTGTTTATTTCTTTGGTTGTGAGCAAGGGGCGTACTCCAAGCAGTTCGAAATTCCGGCTCTTCGCTTGCCAAATCACTTCCCATTTCCATTTAGTATTTTGTTGTGGTCTGATTTTATTTTATTTTTTTTTTTTAATTTGCATGTGTGTGCGTGTGTGTAATCAGCTCTCCGCTTGCGGCTCTCCTCCAACAGCATCAGCATTAAGCAAATTCAAGACGGCATCCGTTGATGAATTGGGCGAGTGTTTCGGTCCAGGTTTCAAATGAAGTTTTCACATTACATTTACTTAGCAATATATATATATATATATATATATATATATATATATATATATATATATATATGTGTGTGTGTATATATATCTTTTTTTTTTTATATAGAATTGTTATGCGTCTGCTTTCGCTTAGCTCTAATAATTTGTACGCCTACGCTTTAGATACCCTGATGCAACTTATTCGTATATTCATATTCATTTTGTTTTTGTTTTTGTTTTTGTTTTTCCTTTTGAGTACCCATTTCCAAGTACGTAGTTAGCTAGAGGTTATTATAAGTACTGGGGTAAGGGGGGAAGGGAGGCCGTTCAAAAATACTGAACTCGTATTTTTGTTGGCTAACTTGATTTAGCTGTTGCTTAGCCTAGTTTTAAATGCGCTTACATTCTGCTAATGACATCTTGAATAACTGTTATTTATATGCCTATTTTATTTATAGTTTGTTTACAACCAAGGAATGTGTGGCTCAAGCAGTCCGATCAAACTCAGCGACAATTTTGTTGATATACACATATATATATATGTACATATATATAGAGATATATATATACGTACATATATACTTTATATATATATATATTTGTGTGGGGCTCATTTGTTTCAGTGTGCGTCTGTCTGTCTGTGTGTGTGCGTGCGTGTGTGTGTGTGTGTGTGCGTGCATTAGTCATCATTCAAAACTATCGACAAAAACATCGTAGCCATCTATCGATTGCAGAGCTCATTGATTAGACCTAACATGGAGGAAAGAGAATTACTCTCGATTTATTTTCGACTTATTCATATGTATATTCTGCATTTACTGTTGCTACATCAATTGGTCTAATTAGTTCTTGTTTACAGTTAGAAATTGTAATCAATGAGCCTATCGATAGCTGCTTGCATCTATCTCTCACTCTCACTCTCACTCTCTATATCTCTCTCTGTCTCTCGATGATTTCGTGTTGGGCGCTGAGTTTGAGCCCCTGCTTTGGACTAACATTAATATTACACGTATGTATATGCGTATATCTAATAGGTAGACCTACCCTCTAGCCTCATCTTGATTAGTTTTAAGTTTCTCTTAACTATGATTAGCGCATTGATTAGCATTGAAGTCGAGTATCAAAAACGAGCGGGGGGTGGGATCGGGTAGGGGGATCTTTCGCGCTTAGGATATGCTCAGCGATCGTTGGATTTGCTTGAGGGGGAACAAATTACAATTGTACAGTGGCGTACAAATTCACAGAAACTGAATGCGTGATATGTAAAGTAAATATTCTATATGTATATACGGAAATCCATCCACATATAGTAAATACGTAAACTCAGTTTTTGTTTTCTTTCGTGACAGCGACACAACTCTTACGATCTAAAAGAATCTCACATCAAGTAACGGTACAATTGCCATATTTTACGGTATCGATAACTAAGTATATATGTGTTTATCGATAAATAGGCCTATTTACTGGAATATTAACTAAAACTTTAAGTTAGACATTAGCTAAATGTTAAAAATTTGGTGCCTAGCCTACAGCTCAGAGTCCTTAGCCTATGCAATCGAATATAATACATACAACAGATTTGATCAAACTTTAGATGCTATATACAGGGCCATATACTATGCTATTTAGATATATATTGGTATATATGTATATATTTATATATATAATGTTGAGACTATGAACAATCTTAGGAGTCTAATTGAGTTTCGAGCTTTGAGTTCAATTTCATTTTGGTTTGCATTTGGCACAGTTCGAGTTTTGAGTTATCGATCGACGTTGATCGATATTCTAGTGATTACATATTGATCAGGAAAGCTTTAGTTAAACATTGTTGATGTTTACCGGTTGTTCGTGTCGGTGTTATTGCTGCTGATTGTAATCACCCCATATGCATGATCTTCTTGAAAGCCTTGCGGAATTCCGGATTGAAGATCGTATAAATAACGGGATTGACAAAGCTATTGATGTAGCCCAGCCAAGTGGTTAGCATAAAGGCCGTCAGACCGGGCCTGCAGTCTTCGTTGAATTTGGCGCACATCGCATCCATGATGTTGCACGTGAAGAATGGCAGCCAGCAGAAGAGGAAGACGCCTAATGAGGGAGACAGAGAGCAGAAGAGAACAAAGAGAAACGAATAAGAAATATACAAATCGAGACAGTGTGGAGAATGTGTTCAGCAATCAGTATAAATTATAATCAGAATAAATTAAGCAACTATATTTGAACCATGTTTGCCTCGTGGCTTTGATCGAACTTACCCAAAACGATGGCCAGGGTTTTGGTGGCCTTGCGCTCCTTCTTGGCCGACGATTTTTCACGTTTCTTTTTCGAGGCCTTGTGCACCTTGTATATCGTGAATCTACGGCACGCAAGGGTCACGATAATAATGCCAGAGTAAATTGCATTTCAGGTTGCATGCGGAACATGGAGATACGACCACAAAGAGATAGAAAGAGAGGGAGAGAGCGAGAGACAGAGAGAGAGAGAGAGAGAGAGAGAGGTGGGTGGTTAGCAAGGGTCGAGCTATTAGACCAAGTGCAGCTAATAACTGCAATTTGGCAATTGCGGCGGCGGCAACTCACCTTGACGCCTGCGAGTTTTTCTTATCCTTGCGCGAGGACGTTTTCGATGTGGTCGATAGCGTGGAGTCGTTGCGTGCCAAAGTCATGGCCTCCTGCACACCGTAGCGCACAAAGGACAATGGCTTCATGGCGACACTGCTGCTGTAAGGCACAAGAGCAGAAAACAACAACAAAACATTTGGTCAGCATTTGGTTTTTGACTTATATAATATATGTATATAAATTAAGCTTTTTTGCTGTAGTTGTTAGATGTTAGTGTGCGGTGTTGCACAAAATGAGTAGACTTCAATAATCCCGTGGCGACGACCGACGTTCTTTATTATCAAAAATCAACTAAAGTACAGTGACATAAATTCTTATATCCAAAGCTAGCCCTAAACCCTGATTATGCTGACATTGCATATTTACGCGAGGCATCGCATTACTTCGGGCAACAACATTGTTGCGCGTTGGAGCCACTGCTGCTGTTGTGCAATATCCGCTGGGAACGGCTACATTCATGCTGACGGCGCGTGATCAATCTGAACATTTATGTTTTGCTGGTCGATTGTGTTAACTCCTCCCCCACTTAGATGAATGACGTCCTCGGCTTTCTTGAAACTGTTAATTAATGTTTGAAGATCACGTTGACGTTTGTTCCTCTGATGTCTTTGATAGAGTTTCATCGAAGCGTAGCAGGAGAGTAAAAGGATGGCCACGGTTAGCCCAGATACTATTGGCCTTCTTACTAGCCCTTCCTCTAGTTGAGCAATATCCCGCAGATTTTTTATGCTTATCTTCTGCAGGTATGGCAGGCTTGGTATCTCTTGGTGGTCTGTTATATTTAAGAGCGCAGATACCGCTGGTCCCGGGGATTTCCTCACGTAGTTTTTTTGGTTTTGGTATACGGTGTTGTTTACCTTTATCTTGTCGTCAAAGGTAAGGAGGAACGTCCCTTTTACCATCTGCTCGTTGACTGTAGCTGCTCCGTCGTTGATGATGATTACTCCATCGTCGACTATGGTTAGAGGTTCGAGGTGGCTGGGCCGAGTTGAACAATGTGCGGTGTCACCTGAGTGTAGCTGTTGAGCGCATGTTGTGTAGGGTGACTTCTTGCAGAACGTTATTGTGAGGGCTGTACTACAATTTCCTATTGATATTACATGATTTCCACAGTCAGCTAAATTGTAGTCTTCGGCGAAATTTATTATGATGCCGTTGTGTTGGACAGGGTATACGGTTAATTTTTTTACATACTATGCTAGGCTTAGGATATCTTATAATGAAATGTAGAAAATTTTCGCTTAACAAAACTTTAATTTGAGATACTTCCATTAAGTCAGTAATAGTGATATTTATAGAGTGTTCATTAACAATGTTTTTTAAATCAGTGGAATCCAAAATGGAGGGGTTTACAATTCCAACCTTTGCAAGTGTTACTGATAGTATTAAGGTTTTTAACTCTGAGATAATTATTCTATTTCTTGTTAGCAGCGTTTCATATAAATGCTCTGTGTCTACTTGTTTTACTTTTGTGTTTTTTACTAGGAGGTTTACGGTGTCAGTTAGCTTATTAATTTGTTCCTGCATTTTTGTGTTTATGGTTATCTGCCTATTTTCTGACTCTACAAGTTCATTCTGTGTAAATTTTAGTTTCTCGAAATCATCATGGTCTGGCGTGCCAGCTACGACCTTTAGAACGGTGCCTAGCATATTGATACTCCTAGCATGTCTATGGTGGACATTTACTGTAGCTATTAATGTTTCTATATGTTGTATGTCTGCGTCTAATAACATTCTCATATGTGATCGGGGGAAATGGTTTGCTAATTCTTTCGTATTTTTTACTATTTCTGAGTATAGGGTAAGGTTGGTTGAGTGCTTCAAGTATTGGAAATCCGTCCAAATGGTTACGTATCCGTCCAAGATCGGTATGTAGTCCATGTTAGTATAGTCAGTCAATTTCGCTGTTATCGTTGTAGCAAAAGAAGTATAGTCCAAATCCTAAAAAGATAAAAAAGGGAATTTAATGTTTTGCCTATCTTAGATTGTCCTTGTGGACCACCCTCCCTTTTATTAAGACTGTTGTCCCCAAGTCTGCGTCAATTTTGCCTTCGTTGTATAGTGGTGTCAGTTTGTTCCCTAAGCGTCTGTTTGTTTTTTCCAAAACTGTGTCGCCTATTTGGAATTGTCTATTGTGTCTTGTTTCGTTTACTCTATTTGTTAGGAGTTGTTGTGCCTTTTGAATTTTATTTCCTATCTCTATTTCGAGTTCTGGGGAGGATGAGTGGATTATATCGATTGGTCGTTTGTCCGTTACTGAGTGAATTGTATTGTTATATTCGATAGTTGCTTGAAGTATCGTTTCAACAGTGTCAGTAATTTTCCTTTGAGCTGTTAGGCATCTTGCAATGTCACCGAGGGTGCTATGGAATCTCTCGACTTGTCCGTTTGATGTACTATGGAGTGGTGGGGCATTTACGATTTGAATGTTATATTGATTGTTTAGCAGAGATTTTATTGTTTCGGACTTTATGGAGGGCTCGTTATCGCAATAGATCGTCTTGGTATGCCGGTAAAAATTTACAAGTTGTAAAATTGCTGATTGTATGTCAATTATTGTCCTTGAAGCGATGGGTTGAACAATTGCAAATTTTGAAAATTTATCTATGCACGTAAGGAAGTATTTTTTATTGGTTGAGTATATGTCTATGTGTAGTATTTCGCCCACATAGGAAGGTATGGGTGTTTCTCCAAGTATTTGTTTTTGTGGGTGACGATTGTACTTAGCTGTTTTACAAATTTTACAATTTGAAACAACTTCGTTCGTTAATTTTGTCATTTTCGGAAAAAAATAGTCTTGTAAAATCTGCTTCACATTTTCTTGGGCTGCTCTGTGAGCCCGATTGTGTTCTGTTGCAATTATTTCTTTCTGTTCGTTTTTATCAAAAATGTCATTTACTATGTACTTTGTATATCGAAATGTTGTTGTTGGAAAAGTTTCTATTAGTTTATGTTGTATGAATGCTAATATTGGTAACTCGCAATGGATTGCATTTACGACATCTTTTTTGACTACATCGCAAACTCTTTTGATTAACGAGTCTCTGTTTGAGAAATGAATTGTATGTCGGATTTTCTTACCAAATAGGATAACTGTACGATCAGAGGCTATATTATTTTCTTCTATTATAATTTGGTTTTGGAAACAGTTGATTGGTTTGTCTGTTGTGTCTATGGTGTATGTGAGCGATATTTCGCTGTGAATTGTGGCTCTGTCTGACTGTACATCGTCCTCTAGGGCATGAATATTATGCCGTGACAGTGCGTCCGCAACGTAGTTCTCCTTCCCTGGCTTGTAATAGATGTTTGCGTTATATTCATCTATAAAAGCTTTCCAACGCCTGATTTTTGCGTTCGGGTTTCGGTCGGATACTGCAAACGTCAGAGGCTGATGGTCCGTAAAGATATTTAAATTTTTTACCCCATATAGATAATTTCGGAGGTTTTTTAAAGCCCAAACTATTGCAAGTAGTTCCCTCTCATTTGTTGCAAAGATAAGCTCTCTATCCTTTAATGTTCTTGATATCATGGTGATTGGTTTTCCACCTTGTGACAGAACTGCCCCAAGACCAGAGGATGAAGCGTCCGTTGTTAAATCAAACGGCTTCTTGTAGTCAGGGTAGAGCAACATTACATTTTCGGATGCAAGAACCTCTTTTAGCTTCTCGAATGCCGCATGTTGACTCTCGTCAAATTTTACTGGAATTTTTTTGGATTGTCCGGCGCTCACTTTGCCATTTTGGCCTTTTAAGATGTCGCTTATAGGTTTTGCTATAGACGCGAAGTCCTTGATGAAACACCTATAGTAGCTTGCCAACCCAAGGAATGATCTGACGTTAAACAAAGTTGTTGGTACTTCATAGTTACGAATCGCTTCAACTTTACTTGGACATGTCTTTATACCATTACTTGAGACTACGAAACCTAGGTATTCTACACTTTCTTTGAAAAAGTGCGACTTTTCTGGTGAAACTCTCATGTTGGCCTCGTATAGTTTATCTAGGACCCAGGCGATATGCTTGACATGGCTTTCCATATTTTCAGAAAAAATGATTACGTCGTCTACGTAAACATAACAAGATTTTCCAATTTGCTCTCTGAGCACATCGTCAATGGCTCTCTGAAAAATACTAGGTGCATTTTTCAAGCCAAAAGGGAGCCTGCAGAACTCATACTTTCCGCTTCCTACAGAAAAGGCTGTTTTTCTCTATCTTTTTCGGCAAGTAAAATCTGGTGGAATCCGGATTTTAAATCTAGTGTTGTAAAGTACTTTGCTGTGCCTAAGTTGGATAAAATGGAGGCTATATTGGGAATGGGGTATTTGTCATCTATTGTCTTTTTGTTTAGTTTTCTGAAGTCTATAACTAAACGTTTCTTTTTTCTTCCCTGCTCGTCGGTACCTTTTTTATCTACAACCCACACGGGGTTATTGTATGGTGACTGGGACGGACGTATTATACCGTTTTCTAACAGATCTTGAGTTTCTGTGTTTACGAATTCTGATACGCCCATTGGGTATGGATATAATTTTGAATAAATGGGATTCTCGTCCTCTGTTCTAATAGTTGCAATGACATTTGTATTATACGGAAGCGCTTCATTTGGTTCCGCAAATACTCCTGCTCGGGCTTTGAGCATTGTTTGAAATTCCGTTGTTATAGCCTGAGGGGCTTCTATTTCTTTGACACTTGTGAAATTTACGGCTGGGCATTTTAGAAAGTTAATGGTCTCAGAACCATAGTTTGTTGTTAGTTTCTTATTTTTGAAGTCTAATAAAACGTTGGTTTGGTTTAGTAGGTCAAGTCCGATTATACCATCGAATGTCGTGAGGTTTGGTAATAAGAAAAATGTTGTCTTGGTATTAAAAAGGTGCATTATGCATTTCTTGTCAACTACGTTGTGGCCATGGATTGATTTTAATCGAAAGGGTTTTTCTACCGGCGTAATATTTTTAGTTCTTTTAATGGTCTCACGTAATTCTTTGAGGCTCCGGTATCTATTAGCAACTTTATGGTTTTCCCTGCTATCGTTCTCTCTATGAACGGGAGCAGGGATTTATTCCTAAAAAATTGACCTGGTCGTATTCGTCCAATTCATTGTCAACGTCTTCTGTCTCGGTTTCTGCGATCGCTTGGTATTCGCTATTGTCCTGCTCGTATTCTGTATCTTCTGTTCCTAGGTGGTTAACTCTTTGCTGTTTCGGTCCTGTGAACCGTGCGCTACCGCTGTTTGGTCGTTTGTTTGCCTGTCCCTGGTTATTGTAGTTTTCGTATTGAGTGCGTCGTTGTTGATTTGGCCACTGAGTCTGTTTCGAGAAGGTCGCGTTTTGTTGGTGTTGCGTAGCCTGTCTGAAGCGAGAAGATGAGTCAACGTCCATTGGTTCTACCTGTTCTTGTCGTGGTGAGAATTCTGGTCTTTTGTAGTGTGGGCTTTTTCCTGGTTGGTTGTGTTTTGGGTCTTGAGCTAGAGTCTTGTTTCTGACTTGCTGTCTTTGTTCGATCTTCTGCGCTTTTTCTTCTATACTGCGGGCGAAATTTGTGGCGAACATATAACGTTCATGATTTGACTCAACTTCTTGAGCCAATGCCAATGCAGAGGGAAGATCAATTGGTCTAGCTGAGAATAGGACATCACTTAAGGCCTTCCTGGTTCCTGAGATGAATACTCGCAGGGCGTCTGCTCTATATTTCTCATTTAGCGAAGAGGCAACGGTGGTGTCGTAGGTCATGATTGTCTTATTTATAAGTAAAGTCAGTTTCTTTTCTACCTCGTCGTAGTACTGCAGTAGTGTCAAATTTCCTTGGCGGAGTGTTGACATCTCCTGTTCAATTAAGTATATCGGTCGTTTGTCGGAGTACGTGAAATCTAACCGATTTATAATGGCCTTAAAATTTAGAGGAGTGTCGAAAGAAGAGAGTACCATATCAGCAGCGTTCTTAATTTTGTTTCTTAATATTCCCAAAGCTTGATAATGCTTTGAGCTACCATCGTATTTCTCATATACCTTGTATGCGATATGCGCAGCCTTTCTCCAAGATACATAAGTTTCGCTTTTTCCTTCAAAGTCCGGGAGGGACTTCATGATGTCAAGGGTTTCGTTGCAAATAACACCTATTTTGATTTCTGCCTCCTTGAAAGTTTCTACCTCGGGTGCGCTAACCTGTACTGAATTTATACGTTGTTCAATTTCGTTTAATTTTCTATCAAAGCTATCTTTTTGAGCAGCTAAAGCGCTTGCGACTGCGCCTTCTACTATAGCTTTTAATTGATCTGAATTCAAAGCCATTTTTAAATTTTCTGTGTTGTAAATTTTTCGAAAATTTGTTATTAAATCTTGTATTTCACTATCACTCATAGGGCAAGTAAAGACAGGGAATTTTGCGTGCTGCGTTTTTTGTTATTAATAATTAATATTTAAAGGTTGAAATTGTATTTTTATTTGTTTTTACTCCTTAATTTCTTTTTTTGCAATGAACACTCTACTCACATGTTCTTATATTATGTTAGTAGACTGTATGTTGTGTGTTTCTTCGCTGATGAGCCGCTTCGTGGTGGGTGTCTTCGCTGCGTACTGCTTCGTCTAATGCTGCTTTCTTTTTTTTTTTTCGTTTTGGTTATGCGTTTTAGTTGTCTTGCTGTTTTTTTTTGCACTTGTGGGGTATTTATCTCACTGAATGCTTGTTTTAATCGAAGTTTTAATTTTTTTTTTTTTTTTTTTTTGGGTTCGTTTCGGTTGGGCGCCAATTAAGCTTTTTGCTGTAGTTGTTAGATGTTAGTGTGCGGTGTTGCACAAAATGAGTAGACTTCAATAATCCCGTGGCGACGACCGACGTTCTTTATTATCAAAAATCAACTAAAGTACAGTGACATAAATTCTTATATCCAAAGCTAGCCCTAAACCCTGATTATGCTGACATTGCATATTTACGCGAGGCATCGCATTACTTCGGGCAACAACATTGTTGCGCGTTGGAGCCACTGCTGCTGTTGTGCAATATCCGCTGGGAACGGCTACATTCATGCTGACGGCGCGTGATCAATCTGAACATTTATGTTTTGCTGGTCGATTGTGTTAACTTATACAATATAAATATAAACAACTATTAAATAAGTTTACAACTAGAGCAGACTAATAGGAACTAGAGAGGATACCATTATATTATATATGTATATATACCATTATATAATAGCTATCGATAGCTAACTATGAAGACATCAATATGTAGACTAATAACTGGTATAGCATTATAACTATCGGTAACTAACTATATAGAAATCGATTTATCATAACTATCAATAACTACTAACTAATAGGGGTGATAGCATAATATTGACTATCGAATACTATATATTAAGCTATCTATATATCGGCAAATAGAGGGGAGAGCATTATAATTGACTATTGATAACTATATCTATGAAGCTTATCGACATATCGGCCAATAGGAATTATAGGAGGGAATAGCATTATAATTAAATATCCCAAATTTACTACAAGACTATCGATATATGGACCAATAGAAATCAATGGAAATATTATTGTAATTAGTGAGCTATCGATAGCTCACTATAAGGCTATCCATATTTAGTTTAATCGATACGCAGCTAGAATGACATTAAGGAATGAAGAATAGGTTCATGAGAATAATTAGGATAATTCTAAATTAAAGCCCTTCACATATGTCTAGATGTGGCTGGGATTGAATTGGATTGCTGTTTGAATGCTGTGTATACTTTGAGAGCATTTAATTTTCCTGTAGCAAAAATGGGGAATTTTTTCCTTTAAACAAAAATTAGCTATTAAGAGAATACTTAAATAATGTGAAGCGATGTAGAGATTGAGTTAATCGGGCATTTAATGTGCTCTAAAAAATACTATTATAGCTTTTTAGTTCTCTGAATGGGATGCTTATGTCGAGAGCAAACTAAATAAATAAATTCGACAATTCCAATCAAATATTTAGATAGTTGCTTTAAAGTAAATGACTTGATATAATAAAAGTATATTTAAATAGTCATACACTTTAATCTTAACGCCTCATTAAAACACTAATTTCATATTTTCAATGGGTTCAGGATATAAAAACATGTAGTTTTAGCTATCTGTTAGGGATCTATCGCAAAAATGAATGACAGACAATGATGCCATCGATAGTCTTAAGAGCTTTAATGCTCAGCTTAAAATTGGATACTCTTTTATGGAAAGTCTACTACAGATTGAGGAGAATACTAGTGAAAAAGAGAAAGTGCTTAACTCTACAATGATGCATAATGAATTCTCTCTGTCTTTAAGCCTGATTACGATTTAAGAACAACGCAGGGAAAGAGAATTTGAAATGCTTTGCTGCGAATGCTCAGCTGAGTTTGTGCTAATTTATGAACATACCTGAGCGGCGGCTCGCCGCGCTTGGGCGAGTCCTCGGCGGTGTTGCGCCGGCTGCTGACACTGGAGCGGTGTAGGGTGGCGCCGCTGGGCACCGGACTGTCCGGCGGCGTAGTGCTGCTGATGGCGGCGCCCACGCTCACTCCTGCAAGGACATCGTCAACGTTTGATGCTGCATAACCAGAATCATGATTACCATTCGGATCGGCAACGACCAGCTGCGGCTGTGTGGTGATCTGTGCCACAACGCTGCTGTCACGCGGATGCAGTGAGCAGAGAGCAGAGAGCAGAGAGCAGCGGGTGGTGATGATGCCAATCAGGCGAACGTCCGGCAATGACAATCAATCAAAGTGAGGCAGCGCAGCCAGTCGACGACAGCAGCAGCAGCAGCAGCAGCAGGAGCAGCAGCAGGAGCAGGAGCAGCATCATCCGGAGACAGAGGAAGCCAAAGTGTGGCGAGTGCGGGGGAGCGAGAGCAAGAGAAAACGAGGAGCAATGTCAATTAAAAACAAGGCAAAAATTGAGTTTTAATTAAGTGACGCATTAATTGAATTATTGAGATTTATTTTTCTCTGCGCGCGCGGGTCGAAACGGGTCGTAAACGGCGACGCCAATGGTGACATCGACGGTGTCGACTAATTGAACGACTGGAGCGGTCAGAGCGAGCGACACGAACGGACGGACCGACGGACGGACGGACGGATGGCGAAGTCTTTTTCCCCAATTATGCTCGGTCGCGGCAGCCCTTTGGTGAAAACTTTTCAATATGCTCGACTCGGCCCCTGCCGATTGACCGCTTCACCAACTAGGCCCTGCTCGCTCCCATCCCAGCCATCTGTCCATCGATATTGGTTTCATTTCATGTCCTTATTGGATTAAAGAGGCCATCAGCTCGCTAATTGACTGTGCTTAACGTTCGCGCTCTGCTGTGGCCACCATCGACATCGGCATCGGCATTGGCATCGGATCGTCATTCCCACCGACCGTCCGCCCAGCTGCTGATTCGATTCCTTGCGATGCAGCCGATAGGCAACCACAGACGAAAGCAGCCGCATCAAAAGGACGACACTCGCACAGATTTTGCATATAAATAATGAATGCCGTCGGATGTTTTATCGGCTATCTTTAATAATTTAGGAATTGATTTGCCTGGCCTGCTTGGCCAGAGCAAACCCTTTCATTTATTTATTATTAGTCCAATATTTTGTTGCTGCTCTTCTGCTGACCCTTTTGCCACGGCATTTTCATAAATATTTCAAGCCAATTTGCACTGCCAAGTTGTTCGAGCCATGAAGTATTAAGTTAATATTATTTCGCAACTTTTCACTTTGCCCCTTGCGGCCATGTGCTGCAGCATTTTCAATTATTATTTGGCAGCCAGTCCAGCTATGCTCCAGGCATATGCATTTCCCGTCAATTGACTTGTTGCTATTGGCCATAAGGGAAGAGCCTCGTTTCAGTTATGTGACATGAGTTATTCATAGTAGCTATTTAAGAGAGCAGGACTAACTAGGGGGAGGCAGGGAGTATTAGTGAGCAGACGCCACTGCTGAGGCCATATCTGAGCAGGGGAAATGCGGGAAAATGTTTTTATTAGACAGTGAGGGGAAAATCGCCACTGGAAACAGTTTAAACTCATAGCTCAAGGAGTAGAGAACCTAACCTCTCTGTTTCTTTCACTCTCTCCCTCTCTGTTTCGCTCACTGTTTCTGTTTCGCTCACTCTCTCTCTCTCTCTCTCTGTCTTCCCTAAGCTAACTCTAACTTTTTTCTTATGTGGGCATCGAATGAAATCAAACCAAACTCATATGCAAATATAAGGTTTATCTTATTCAAATTTATTTTACATGCAGTTCGAGTCTATTCGAGGCTGAAGAAACCCTTAATTGCCTAATCCTTTCGTTTAGGCCAGTGAGGACAGCACCTGTCCAAAATGGAACTGTGACTAAGCTGCTGCCGAAGAAGCTGAGCCCTTTTAAGAATGCGGCAGGTTCTAGCAAAGGTAACAAATATACGTGAATACCTGAAGAATTAAATAAACCATTCCTAATGGAGCAGAGGGCTGGCAGGGGCTGGCAGGGGCTGGCAAGGGGCTGGTACGAGCTAACAGGAGCTGGCAGGGGCTGGCAGGGGCTGGCAGGGGCTGGCAGGGGCTGGCAAGGGGCTGGCAAAGGGCTTGCTGGGGCTGGCAGGAGCTGGCAGGGGCTGGCAGAAGCTGGCAGGGGCTGGCAGGAGCTGGCAGGGGCTGGCAGGGGCTGGCAGGAACTGGCAGGGGCTGGCAGGGGCTGGCAGGATCTGGCAGGGGCTGGCAGGAGCTGGCAGGGATCGCAGGCAAACCCAAGGAACTTGAAGTTTTTTTTACATGTAATAAAATAGTCTACATTTTATATGTCAATAGTCTCTCGCTCTGTATGTCTCATTCTTTCTGTCATTATTTCATACTTTTTCTCTTTGTTCCTGTCTCCCTCCCTCTCACACACTTTCTGTTTCTTTGCCTACATCGAAGTTCGATTGTTAATTGTAAATCATAGTAGCCTTGACTTAAAATTCGCCCAGTTTTCCTATTTAAGCTCGGAGCATTTGCTGGAGAGCTCATTTTAAAATAATCTTCTAAGCATTACATATTCCTTAAGAAATATATTTTTTAAATTTAACAAACTTTTGGAGCACGATTTCAGTAACGAGTATTCGCCGTTCGCGCATTATTCGAAAAATAATTAGTTTAAAATTGGATTCGCCAGCCATCGTGAAATGATATCTTTGAATACGGTCTAAATCGGTTCAGCAACGAAAAATCAAAATATTATATTTTTTACTTATTATTATTATTATTATTGCAATCGGAATTGGAATTGGTGGTGCACGAAAAATTCAACAATGGCCTCTAGGGGACCTCCACAGAATGGTCCGAACCCGTTCGCCTATCATTCCCATTCTCATAAATCTTTTGCCATAGACTTAAAGCCGAAATCGCACTCTCTACTAGGGCGCACCGCCCGTGACTTGGACGAGGAGCTCGTGAAGCTCCGTAACGAGAACTTTAATCTGAAATTGCGTCTCTACTTCAAGGACAATGGCGGCGACCACACCAAGAACAAGGAGCTCGAGGATGCCAAGACCGTGATCCATGCATTGCGCATGGAGGTCCTCGAAAAGACACAGCTGCTCCAGGAAGCCGCTGACGCTATGACCGAGCACGAAGATCGCGAAAAGGAGTTCGTTCGCGACAGTCAAGCCAAAATCGCCCAGCTCGAGAGCTGCATTGCCCAAATGAAGGTAAATGCCGTTAGAGTCTATGCCCAAGCTCAATTAGTTATCAGTGAATTGTTCCCCAGAAGGAAGCACCATTGGAGACCCTTTTCACTCGCGAAAGTCACAAGATCAAAGAGACACCGTCTCCTTCGGAGCTGGTGAAGCGCAAAATGGACGACTTGCACGATTCCCAACTGGAAGTGGAGCAATTGACGCAGCAATTGACTGAGCGTGACCGAGAGGTGAGTACCCCTTTGCCGCTATCTCTCTCTCTCCCTCTCTCTCTCTCCCTCTCTCTCTCTCTCTCTCTCTCTCTCTCTCTGTCTCATTAACTCCTCTGCCACAGATGTATCGCCAAATGGACGAATTGCAGCAGTCCAAGAAGGAAATTGAGCAAATAAAGCAGGAGTTGGCCGAGCGCGACCGTGAGGTAAGTACCCGTCTCTCTCCCTCTCTCTCTCTCTCTGTCTCTTTCTCACAGAGACTGCAACCCATTCGCAACAGGTGCAACGCCAAATGGACGAGTTACACAAGACCAAACTTGAGATCGACCTATTGAAACAGCACTTGACAGATCGCGAAAAGGAGGTGAGTACCCTTCTCCCTCTCTCTCTCTCGCAAACAGTGGCACTAACTCATTTTCAACAGTTGCATCGCCAGATGGACGAGGCCCATAAGGCCAAGCATGAGCTCGAACTCAAGAATAAGGAGGTCGCTACATTGAAGAAGCAGTTGTCCGAGCGCGACATAAAGCAGCTCATAAGTGCTGAGAAGATGCAGGATTTGATTACTGAAAACTCCGAGCTGAAGACCAGTCTCCGTGAGCAGCGCAAGATCGCCAACAAGGCGAAGGTGAGTATGCAGAGATCTGTCTGTCTATCTGGCCCTGCACTGATGATGCCATTGCAGCAATTGGTTACAACACGCGAGCAGGAGCTGGTGAACTGCTTGACCGAGAAACAGGGTCTCCTGGTGAAACTTAACGAACTTCAGCCGGAGCTGATTGCCCAAAACGAAGTGGTGAAGGAAGCAACTGTGACAATTAAGAATCTCCTGGTAGGTCAATCGTCCTTATCGATGGTAAATTTCCTAACTACCTTCCACAGATGAGCACGGACTTGAACGAGCAGGCCTCACGTAAATTGGTGATGGGCTATAGGGCAGCTCTGAACCAGTCTAGAGCCGAGATTCGCAACATTACTGCAAGCATGGAGCAGTTCAACTCGAATTATATTCCCAAGGGATGCCCTGCCGATAGCAGCAGCAGCAGCTCCAGCAGCTCGAGCAGCTGCAGCAGCTGCCAGATGACCCCATTGGATCTATCGATGCACGATCTATCGAGTGACGCTACCCAGACTCCTCAGACTCCACAGACCGAAGACGCTCAGCCAGTGCAGCCCATTGAGGTGAGCATCGAACACCATATATACTCGTAGTAGATTACCAATTAGCTACTTCAATCCGTGCCGCGCCCTGCCATAGAAATGCGAGCCTGAGCCGACCTCTAGCCAGGGCGGGTCAGGTGAGCATCCTCGTAGTTCAGCCAAGTCCCGGCGACCCGGACTTCGTCAATTTGTTAAGTGCTGGGGACGCCCATGCCCGAAGTGATTTCCCAAGTTTACCAAACAGTTCATTTTAGTTCATTTTCCCGTTCTTGATTATTGTGAAATAAAAAATTGATCGCTGCGTCAGACGTTTTGACGGTTTGACTCAATAGCTTCTTGGCCAAATATAAATTGTGATTGAGACTCTGCTTTCGCTTGCTTGCCTGAGGGGGGGGGGGATGGGATGCGGCAGGAGTACTGCTTCGCTTGCCACAGCTTCTTTCTACAACTAATTAGGATTGCCACAGCGCTGCTACTATGGCATGTGGCATGCGGCATGTAGCTCGCCCCGCAATGTGGCAAGCAAATTTTTACCGAGTGCAGCCAATTGGGAGCTCTGATGAAATGGCAGCGAATGGCAATGGCTGGAGACAGCCGTGCCAAAGCAAAGTCAATAAAAGGCCGCATCCTCTGAGCGCGACAATTGCAACGAAAGCCAAACACACACTGTGGCAAATCCTCCCCCACCACCCACCCCCCATCGCCACACCCCCCTCCCACAACTTGCTACAAGTGCAGTTACAAAGAGCCGCACGGCTAGCAGCTAGTCGATTGGATTGTCTGAGTGCTCATTCAGGGCTTTCATTTTATTGCAGCGCGTGTGAATTTAAATGAAGAAGCGCGCGCTGACTGAATTGAGTTCTCCCAGTCAACAGGCGTAGCGAGAGAGAGAGAGGGCGGTAGGGCGGTAGGGCGGTAGGGAGCAAGCAGAAGAAGTTGCAATTACGATTACTTTGACAATTTTGTTCGGGCGCCACTAAGTGGTAGCTGGATGCATTTGGGAGTGCTCCACGCGGAGCAGCTTCAATTTGTTGTGTCAGCAGCTGTCCGCTGGCTGAGCCACTCTCCTCCTGCTTATTTACTACGTGCCACAAGCCAAAAAAAAAAAAGAAAAAAAAACTTCGCATTGACCAGGTGGCAAGTTTGCAACCACGCACCTTCCATTAAATTAGCGCAACTAAAGCGAAATTCTCGAATGTGCCGAAGTGCCAGCACAGTCGGTGAATTAGCTCGAAGGGGAGGGAGAGTGGGGGCGTGGGAGCGCCCTAATGGAAACTTGGTCCGCCGCAAGCGAAGTGCTCAACTGATTTACTACATAGGCCGATAGGATTTGTTGAGTGAGCAACAGTTAGGAATTACCCGAAAAAGCTGAAATTGAATCTGAGTTCAGGTTGGGGATATCCAGAATTATTCGAAGGAGATAAAAGCTTAAGTCCTGTGAGACAATATTTTCAGAACACGTTGGGTGTGAATACCCCCCTCAATGCCACTCATTAGGCTCTTATCAACAAATCTGATATCTGTCGAGCCAACATCCTCTTTCCCTCAGACTCTTCTCTCCTCCGCTATCTCTCTCTCTCTCTCTCTCTCTCTCGCCCTCTTTTTCGCTCTCTTCGTATGTCTTGTTAATTCTCTCATTGTTTTACTTTATTCTCCTTTCTCCACTCTCTCTGGCTCTCTCTCCCTCTCTCTGTCTCCGTATGTCTTGTTCAAGTTCCTTCTCTTTTTCTCAATCTCTCTCATTATTTCATGCTTTCTTTAACTCAATCTCTCCATCATTTTCTGTATCTCTTCTTAGCTATCATTCTCTCTCATTCCAAATATTTCTCTCACACACTCGTTCTCTCTTTTGCTCACTATTTCTCTGTATTGCTCTAGTTTCGCTCTTCCTCTCTCTCTCTCTCATTCTCTCTCCTTTCTCTATCGTACTCCCTATCTCGCTTTTCCTCTCTTTCTTTCTCCCTTTTCTACATTTCTCTCTGTCTCTCTTTCTCTCCATCTCAGCCTCTGAACCTTGTTTTTTTACCTTTATTCTCTCTCTCTTTTCCGCTGTATTTGGTTCTCTCTTTCTATATTTCACCACTTCTCTACTGCTCTTTCTCTCTATTTCGCTGTGTCTCTCTCTCTCTCTCTCTCTCTCTCTCTCTCTCTATGTATATACATACATATAGACTTAACTTTGTAATAGTTATACAGATTTCCCACTCTTCAAGTCCAAGTTTACGCTCTTTATCGAACTTTGATTATATCCGCATAGGACAGGTAAAACGGTGTAGGGTGCATCGTGTAGCAACGTTCCGTCCCCTGCATCGGCCTGTTAGCTCTGGAATGGCCATCAACATGAAAGCCGAACGCCCTTTTCACGGTTTCACAAACTCCATTTCCCGCTGTCGTTGGCACTTCTGTCGATGGGGCTGTGGCGTTGGCTCTGGCTGCAGTTGCTTCTCCCCAGACACGCCCACCCGCCCACACACATTTCTGCCCAGTTACCTTTCGCACTTTCAATTTTATGGCCGGGGCAGTGACATGAAAAGTGCTCGAAGCACATTTTCAATGGGCCGCACCAAATGTGGGAGTGGCACCGCCCCCAGCCGAGTGGGGCCGTCACTTGGTTACTTACTTGCCGGTCTCCTCGACGACTGTGGCCAGCATAAATTCAGTGGACTTATCGTTGACGATGACGTGGCAGTCATCGATATCGGGCGAAATGGCATTCTCGTCCTCCTCCTCGTTGGAGCCGCTGGCCGTGTTCGTGGCCGGCTCATCGGGCAAAATGCGGCTGGCATGCCGGCTGCTGTCCAACGCCGTCTCGGCCAGTCGCCGGGTCTGGGCAATATTCTCGATGACGCTGCCGCCCGTCAGCTCCGAGAGATGCGGCTTGCGGGCAGCCCTTTGCTTCCGAGCACGACTGCGCAGCGCCTGGGGAATGAGCAGGGGAATGGCACGAGAAATATATGGTAATTGATTAGTAAAACGTTTCACGTGCTGCGCTTGCATAATACAGGACGAGCCACAGCTACAGCTCGAACCCTTTCCGCCGGCTCGATGAGGCCGCAGCTAATGAGTGTGTGTAAACAACAAATCCGACTTAGTTATTCAATGGGAAATTGTGCATTAATCAGCAGACTGCATTAATAGCCAATCTCTATTCAAATCCAAATCCAAATCCAAATCCGTTTTTGATTAGCTCGCAGCAACTCACCTTGAATATGTTCCAATAGAGGAAGACCATGATGATGCACGGTATGTAGAAGCTGCTCAGCGACGAGTAGAGTATGAAGTCAGCGTTGTAGAAGGCGCACACATCCGGTTCCCGGTTGGGCGTGTTGTTCAGGCCCAGCACTATCGGCGACCCGATGGCAGCCGATATCGCCCACACCAATAGTATCGTAAGGCAAACGCGGCGACTATTTTTGTGCTTTGCATATTTTATTGGCTGCGTCACAGCGATGTATCTGCGGAATGTTAGAGCAGAATGCCAGCGTCAAGGACTCTGTATGTGTGTGTGTGTGTGTGTGTGTGTGTGTGTGTGTGTACTGCAGCTAGTATTTGTGTGGCAGTGGCATGCATCTTACCTGTCTATTGAGATGGCGACTAAATTAAATATCGATGAAGTTGAGCATATCACATCCATGGCTATATAGAAATCACAAACAACATTAGGCAAAGCCCATGCACCATTCACCTGTAAAGAGGCAGAGACAGAGAGAGAGAGCAGAGGGAGGGAAATTAGTCATATGTATTTAATTAGTTAAATATTTTGCATCCTTATTTTCATTTAAAACGACCAAACAGACGAGCAATCTTCTGTGACATTTGTATATCTTCTATCCTCTTTCCACTTTTGCCTTTTGATGCACGTATCTTGGCGAGCCCTAAATTTGTCTACTGTGTATAGAGTGAGAGAGCTAGAGTGCATAGCTGAACAAGTCGCGCGCCAATCATAGCTTGCAAATTAGTGTTGACCGTTTCGCGATGCCTGCAAACACATACATACACACACATACATATGTAAGTGCCTTTCACTCAAGCAGCGAGCCGAGTCCATTCTCGATCGGCTTGCAATCGGTTTTGTTGCTGTTTCGTTTTACTCGTGTTGTTCGCTGACCCTTTCGTTGAGTTAAATGAAGCATTGGCATGTGTGTGAGCGGTGTGTTCGCTTAACATGAGTATGTGCATGAGTGTGAAGAGTTTTTACATAGAAAGAGTTCGTCATACGCATAGTTCAACTCAACTTTACATTACTCAAGGCGCTTAATAAAAAAATAAAACGAAGAGCGATTGAGTGTGATTCTTTCGGTTAATTTCGCGAACAGAGCTTAAGCAATCAAACGGTTAGCTGTTATTTTTCAAGCTATGATAACATTACATTACTCAATAGTGTTACGACACATACACACAAATATATACATATAGATATGTTTATGTATTTTTTGAAAATCAAATTGCATTCATTGAGAGGAATTTTAAATCAATTTGGCTGCTATCTCGCTTGCCCCCAGAGATAGGTCATTTTTTACTATTATTTTTACATCATTTGAGTGAGTAACAATTTCGCTTTGAAAGACATAAATTTCTATTGGCTGTCGTTCTTTGTTGTGCCGCCTTTTTGGACAGAGAGCGGCAAAGATGAATGGATTCCATTTGCCCGATAGAAATTGCTATCGCAGCCAGCACAAATACATTTAACGATGTCAATTTGATCCTAAGTGTCATATGGAAAAGCAATTTAATTTCCAATTGCCGGGCGAGTGTCTGGGAGTTGCCTGCAATAATCTCATTGCTTCGCACAGCGCAGAGCCACGCTATCGACTGAGTGTGAGTGTGAGGGAGAAAGAGACAGACAGAGAGAGAGAGAGAGAGAGGGTATGAGGTGGGCAAACATAAATCGTGGACGGCTGTCGACCATTGTCATCTATCAATAACAATATTCTTTCGTGCCTCAGCTACAAATTAGTTTTTCGAGTCTATCGCACGGCGCGCATCTATGAGTTGAGCTTCAGTTTACTTGTGCAGCAGCGGCGACCCACGCCCAGCCACGCCCACTCGAGTCCATAAAAACCTCAACAATAACGCAAGGAATTTCGAAAGCCAAACAATTTGTAGCACACAAAGCACATAAAAAAAAAGGCAAGAGGCAACTTTGCCAAAGGATGATCAGGCCTGCCTTTGTGCGTGTGTGAGCGTGTGTGTGGAACTGACAGCCGCACACACGCACAGCTATGTCCTGGCATCCATATTTGCAGCAATCCAGACAATGCTGGTATAAATAAATAGAAAGCCGATCGGTTTATATTTAAAGTAGGCAAACAAACTCCACAAAAAGTGCAAAATATTTCAGATTACACACACACACGCACACACGTATGGGCACACACACACACACACACACACACACACGCCACCAAAAGTTTAGCTGTGAAAGTGAAAGCCAGTGGAAAGCATCGAGGGAAAATGTTAGGAAAAATTCTGCTGCGACGGGGATAGACTTGGGTCTAAGCGAGCATAACAAAAGTTGAGCAGTGCTAAGAAAGTGGCAAAAACTTTTTGATATAAAGACATACGCACGACTGCGCCCACACTCACACACACACACACACGGACAGACACACGCATAGACCAGCTCACGTACACACTTATAGATATACATAATGTAACACGTAAGCTGCTCAAGAATTTTTACAGCGTTTATTTGCTTCCTGTTCTCTATTGTCGCCGCCATTATGGAACCCGTCCCCCTCTCGCAGCGCGCCCACCCCGCCCCAGCGGCCATTGTATGCCAGATTGCGTATACGCGTATACGGCAACTGAAATCCAACTATAATTTATAATGTATTGGCATTTTGGCGAGAGAGCATTGAGAAACTACTTTGCCATGCGAGCGACAGACGCCTTTATTTGTGTGTTTGTGGCGCCAACTGAACTGGCCCCAATCGATTATTTGATCGTCTAAGTGAATCAAATGCCGCGCTCTGACACGCCCACTCCCACCACTCCCACTGGCTCCTGCTCGTCGTCGCAGCTGTCATGCAAAGGAGAGACGAGCGCGACCATAAATACATTGCTGTTGATCCTATTTAAAGTTGTGCCGATTTATGACAGAAGAGAGAGAGAGAGAGAGAGAGAGAGAGAGAGAGAGGAGAGGGGGAGAGAAAAGTTTTCAATGGCTTTCAATTTATGCAGATTGTATGCATAGGTAAAGGCATTTAAAGGTATGCTGACCTTTCAACTGACCTAACGTCGCACACATACTCCCACTCTCTCGCTCTCGCTCTCGCTCTCTCACTCTCCCTCTGGCAGCTTTAAGAGCAGCAGTTTATAAAATATATAAATTTATCCATTTGCGGCCACAGATACAGAAGCAAAAGGGACAAAGCCCTCGGAACAGGCGCTGCCAACGGCGACAATAAGAATGGAATGGCATATGAGGCGGATGGCTATAGAATAGACAACAAACATGTATACACGCACACACACACAAAAGAGAGAGAGAGAGAGAGAGAGAGAGAGTGAGAGAGTAAGAGGGAGAGAGAAGGAGTGAGAGGGAGAGAGAAGGAGAAACAACAAAGCACACGTCGCATTTTGATAATTGAGCTTCTGGTTTTTATGGCTTGCACGCAGTTAGAGTTTCGGTATGTGTGTGTGTGTGTGTTGTCTATGTGTGTGTGTGTGTGTATTCCCTTGCGTTAAGCAGCTGATACCCTCAAGAGTTTCTTGCCAACACTTGATATGAGCAACTTCCTTTCCAAATCACTAAAACCCACAACAACTTCTGCAAATATGGCCACCCTAAAGCAGAAAGAAACTTTAAGCACGCTCAAATCTGTAAGAGAGAAGTTCCAGCCCTTAGCAGAGAAATTAAATATAGTTTTTAATATAAACTTACATATATCAAAATTCAATCATTAAAGATGATGCTAAAACATAGCCAATCCAATTGGAGCACATGCATTACTCTAAATAGAACAAATACCTATAGCTGCTTTAAGGCCAAATTAAGATACATTATGATATCAACTCAAACTCTACTCTATTCAAATCCTTTACATCGCACCCAATTGGAATTTAGCGAAATTGGAAAACTCAAATAAAGCTGATTAAAGTAATGATTCAAAATATTCAAACTTTTGGCAGACTCAACAGGCAAACATCTACAATTACAGGTTATTTCCAATTGGAATATATGTTATAGTATATATTATTATTTATTGTCAATTTTAGATATTATATATTATTATATATTATTGTTTTATAATTTACTTTAGGTATTTCTTGAGATATTAACATTTTGTTTTTGCTTTTGCCACTAGAGTCTGCCAGTTGGAATACATAGCTCCAACTGGAATCTATATATGATGTAAATATTGCCTTAGATCAACTCTAACATTTCATCTGCTTCAGGCAGACCTTTCCAATTAGCTAGAAATATCTGATATGATATCTGATAAGAGTTTTTTTTATCAAAACGTAATAGTCCACTTGTTGTTTTTCCGTTGCATATCTTATCATCCAATTTGATTCCAACTAGATGTAAATGCTGCAGCTAATGCCACCTGTGCTGGTTGCACTCATTACAGCTGCTGCTCTGACTCCACATAATGATTCTGAGCTTTTCATCGTGTGTTATGTTTGTCTTTCATTATTTTTCCACTGGCAGCAGCAGCAGCAGCAGCAGCAGGAAAAGTTGCTTTTAATTAAATTCATCTGATGGAAATGTTTTTCCTGCTATTGGCGACTCGAGCGGGGAGTCAAGGCCAGCGCATTTCAAGTTCTGCTTCAACTTTTGCACATTCAACTTTAGTTTCGTTCTATATAAATCTCAATTGTGATTGTTACTACTTTCAGCACACTCCCTACCTCTCCCTCTCCATCTCTCTCTCTCACTTTCTCCCTCTCACTGCATTGGCATATTTATGGCTCATCTGCATTGTGAGGACGCGGCCACAATTTGTCGCTGGCTAAAATCCGATTTGGCATTAATTAGCCCCAATCACACGATTACATATAAACTGTCTCTCTCTCTCTCTCTCACTCTCTCTCCCTCCCTCTCTCTCTCTCTAGTTTTAGTGTGTGCGTATTTGTTTATTCGTTTATTTGTTTGTTTGTTTGTGTTTGGAATTTGTTTATCAACATTTAACACCGCCAACTGAAGCTGCGCCATGTTGTGGCTCTGTCAGCGGCTGTTTACTTTAACTGTGTGCGTGTTTGTCTACATGTGTGTGTGTGAGTGGGTGTGTGAGTGTGTGTGTGTGTGGCTGTGAGCCCACGCCAATTGCGCAGTGGTTATATAATTTGTGTCATTTTAACGTTATTACCACTGAAAATGTTTTCGAATTCGACAAAATCATTAAGTGGCACATTGATTTGATTTATTTAATGTCGAATGTAAATTAGATTCTGTTTCATTCAATTTTCAATTATAGTTTACAAATTTGGTGCTCAGATAGCCCATTACTTATGTAACAGATGATGCATTTGCCTTCCTTTCATTTTCCCAATTTCCATCTCTCTGTCAGTCTCTTCTCTCTTTCCACCCACAATCGGTAGGCTGTTCACATAGTGAGGTTTTTTACTACAGACATAGGCATATCGATATACAGCTAATATCGATATGCAATTAATATCGATATAAAACTCTTTATTTCCCTTTCTCCCTTTTGTTCTGTCCTTCAGTTTTGGTATTCT